AAGAAAGAAAGAAAGAAAGAAAGAAAGAAAGAAAGAAAGAAAGAAAGAAAGAAAGAAAGAAAGAAAGAAAGAAAGAAAGAAGGAAAGAAAGAGAAAGAAAGAAAGAAAGAGAGAGAAAACTTAAATACCCATGAGACGACTAGTAAGAAAGAGAGCCTGAACGCAAAGTCAAGATGACTGAGTCAAAAACTTCTGAGTTTTGCTGCCTGAGAGGGTTCACTAAAGGCAACTCATCCGAGCAACCCTCTAGACTACACTTTCCAAACAAAATCGCAATCTCTGCTGAAGGTCCATTTTTTTCCAAAAGCATTCATGACCAATACTTTTGCAAAATACAATGAAAGTAAATAATAGACAAATGAAATATTAAAAAATAAGGCCCACTGATCACATATTTGGATGTTACAGCAATGTAAAATTTCTATAAAAGCTTTTAAAACCTCTCCCTACCTCCTTGTGGACCAGTAACTAACAATTCCTGGTCTGGCACCCCCTCCTCATGCCTAGACTCTCACGGTGGTCAGCTTTCTTTCTAGATTTGTCTTCGGGTGAAGGTGATGATCCAACTATTCTGATAATCTTCTGTCCTTCTAACACTCTACGGCTTCTACAAGTACCTTCTATGCCCTGTCTTTTATTTTCCCTGATGTAGATCGTAAAGTGATAGAGTATTAATTCCCAGGGACTTCCTCTGTTCAGAAATGCTGTACATTCTCTAATAACACGACTTGAGATGCACATCTCAATTTTTAGAACTCACAAAGCCATTTCACACCCATTTTCTCTTTTAATCTTCATGTTGATATTTTGAGGGAGGAGAGAGGAAATTATCATGCCCATTTTATAGAGGAGTACATTTAAGATCCAAGTGACTTATTCGGGATCCCATAGTAAGCAGGAAAGGCATAGTGGAAGGCAGGAAGTTTAACTGCTGATGCATTAGTTCATATTGTCTGTTTCCATTTTGCAGTAGAAGAAAAGAGAGTTCAGAAAAGTGGACTCACTTCCTCAAAGCCATAGGACTAGCAATTTGAGCTCCAGACACAGACCTTTGCACTTGTCCCTACTTTTTCTTTTTTTTTTTATGACTTGTCTGTCTGACTGAATCCTGTGGTTTTTCCATAGCCCCACACAGCCTTCAATAGGAAACACCTCTTTTCCTGTTGACTAAATTCCTGTCCACCTCTCACACCGCGTTTGTCTTCATGGAGTGGTGACTCCATTTCCATTTTTTCTAAGATTCCAAACACATGCACCCCAGGGGTGTTGGCAGCAATACTCAAAACAGGCATTTTTTCTCCTAGACTGTCATCATTCTCATGATTATGTCTGTAGAGGTCAGGAGTGCATGTGGGAGCAGAAACGATGATCTGAGAGTCCCTGGGTTAATGGCCCCGGGGTCCTGGAGTTCTGCAGGCGAACGAAGGTAGGGGCAAGGACTGGTCTTCCTGAGTTCTTAGTCTCTTTTCTTACAAAATACTGACACTGTTTTTAAGTTCCACATTAGTAGTAAAGGCAAATCACATCAAGAAGAAATTAGGTAAGAATTTCTTTAGAGAAGCAAGTCCAACTTTTATTGCAACCTTTTTCATTACCCCAAAGTGATATTTTTCTCATTTGGAGACCTGCCCCCACCCACTATTGTAGATATTTCTCACCTGCTGTTGATGCAGAAGTTTTGCACAATGACAACGAGGTGGCAGAAACCCACAACCACGTATTAGGCCGGCTGTACACTATTTTTTTAAAGATGTATTTATTTATTTTACAGGGAAGCAGAGGCAAAGAGAGAGGGAGAGGGAGTCTTAAGCAGACTCTGCGCTGAGCACGGAGCCTGATGCAGGGTTTGATCTCACAGCCCTGAGATCATGACCTGAGTTAAAACGAAAAGCCAAAAACTCAACTGACTGCACCACCCAAGCAACCCACCCCCCGGCTGTATAGTTTTAATGTACACACTTAATATTTGGCTTCAAGGTGAAAAATCAGGCTGTGTCTATTAAGCTTAAATTAAGCACTTCTGATATGTCCAATCCCTTCTGCTAAGACAGCTGTACCTTTTGACTCCTTAGCTTTGATTTCTTGACTTCCCAAAAATCATTCTCCATCTCTGCTATGGGAAGATGGATGCATGCTTTACATTTAAGTAGCAGGATTTAGTAAGACAAGAGATGGTTGTTGAACATCCAATCTCCCAAATTTAAAATCCAAGAGCTGGCTTTAAACTCCAGGGAGAAAGTCTCGGGAAAGAACTCATTGAACCCTCCTTGCCGATGTGTTGGCCGATAGAGCTGGAGAATCTCTCCAGAGAAGTGTGTAGCTTCCAGAAGTCTACCTAGCTGCCGCCCTTCCCACCATCCTGGGACTCTGCCTTGATGGTTCATTAATCCTCTGTACTCTTCTCTTCCTATACGCATGCTAGTTTTACAGCAGCACTTTCTGTATTTAGGAGGGAGAAGTGAAAAGGAAAGGGATTTGTTTAAAACAGAGACACTTGGAGCACTCTTTCAGGAAAAAGAAATGAAGCGAGCCAGTACCGTAGTCTCGCGCTCTTCCTCTCCTCACCCTGGCTCACGGCTGTCCCACTCCCCTCCATCACCGACAGCTTCATGGGAAATCACCCTCTCTCATCAGCAAATAAAGAGCCAGTGCTTCTGATCTCCTGAAGAGCTTATCTCATTGCCGAGGTTTGAGGTAGACAGCTTCCGGCGGAGTCCGTTTAGATGCGGCTTTGCATCAGGCGGTACCTCGTGATGGTTGAGAGTCTGGACTCTGGAGCCTGACTGCCTGGTGTGACTCCCAGTCCGCCCCTTACGTGACTTTGGGACAGTCTGTGCCTCAATTTCCTCATTGATAAAACTGAAACTTTGAGGCTTCAATTAGTTATATGTAAAGACCCGGAGACAGTGCCCCGTACATGATAAGCATTCAAAGGTGTATCTGACTGCTCTTGGGACAGGAAGAGGAACTGAAAAAAGTAACTGATAGGTTACATGGTGTATTCATTGTCCATCGGCATATAACAGATTGCCCCCAAATGTATCAGCTTAGAACAGTAAAAATTGATTCTCTCCCCCACTTTCTGTGGGCTAACAATTTGGGAGTGGCTAGGCTAGGGGCTTCTGATCTGGAGGCTCTTGCCACCCTTGGTCAGAGAGGCAGTCATCTGCAGGTTTGACTGGAGCTAGAGGATCCACTTCACATAGCTGGTAAGTTAATGCCGGCATTGTGCTGTGTGAATCTCTTCGTAAGGCTGCTTGATGTCCTACACTGGGACTGGCTTTCCCTAGAGTGAGTGACAGAAGAGAGAACAAGGTAGAAGCCTCTATGTCATATATGAGTTAACCTTGGAAGTCACGCTCCATCATTTCTGCAATATCCCAGTTGTTACGGATACTAGTTACCATTTATGTTATGGATGGACAGCTCTCATTTATATTTCACCCTACTTATTTACTGGGTTGCCACTAATGTTTTTTTTTTTTTTCTCCTTGTCTCTTTCATTCTACTATAATACACTTCAATTTGCCAGAAAGCGATTGGCCTATTTAATAGCGTGATCCAGATTCATCTTCTACTGATGATGAACAAGGCCTCCCCAGAGTATGAAGAAAGCCTACACAGATACCAGAAGGCAGCCAAGCTCTTCCAGGGAAAGGTAAGTCTGTAATGGGAGATACCCTTCTGACTACTCAGTACCAGGACAAAGGACACTAAAAAAAGGGGAGATGGGTCCAGAGAGATTAGATAAATAAGGAAAGTGGGTATGGTTAAGAGATAACAAAGTAAGAACTGGGACATAATGAGTCACATTACTCTGATTTAAAATTAAAGGTCTATTTTAGAGTGTTAAAGACCTATATAACCATATCTTCCCTTGGCGGGGAGTCTATTTTTTTTGTTCCTGCATTGAGAAGTGGAGAGAAAAATGGAGACCCAAAGATGCTGAAAGTAAAAATCCCCTATTATTCACAATGTATTTATTCTTTGCCATAATCTCTTAAAGTTTTAGACTCAGGACTTATTGCTCATATAAAGCACCTATCACGTACCTGGTGCCTACTAGATGTCTAATAAATATTTAGTTATGTTCCTTCTCTACCTTGTGCAGCTCTGTTTGGTATCACTGAAATAATAAATCTTCAACCACTTCAAGGCTACTGCATTAAGCTAGACCTTTTCTCTTTTCGTTTTTTTTTTTTTAAGATTTTATTTATTTATTTGTCAGAGAGAGAGAACAAGCACAAGCAGGGGGAACGACAGGGAGAGGGAGAAGCAGGCTCCCCGCTGAGCAGGGAGCCCGATGCAGGACTCGATCCCAGGACCCTGGGATCACGACCTGAGCAGACGGCAGACACTTAACAGACTGAGCCAGCCACCCAGGCGTCCCTAAACTATACCTTTCCAAAGTTGACAACTGTATGGTGGTAACATAAGCTGGCTTTCTGGTGGCTGTTTCCCTAACACTGGAAGTTTTCAGTGTTTCTGAATGTAAATGATCCTCTAACAAGAACATTCTAAAGGTTTCTACTTTGGGTAGAAGGTTTGATTTAATAATATCAAATAGATGACATTTATCAAGCACCTACCATATGCTAAAAACCATACTGGACATATTAAATGGATTGTCTCATTTAATCTCCCCCAACAAAAGCCTATTTTGCCAGTGAGAATACTGACTCTCAGAGAGGCTAAGTAACGTGCCAAAGGCACACAACTAGAGAGTACCAGAAACAAAATTTAGAATGTATTATCCGCTTTTAACCATTAGGCTACACTTAAGTATTTAGCTAATCACTAAAGCTGCTTCCAATTCTGTGTTCTTAAAATTAAATAAACCTGATCAAAGGGATAAAATACCAAAGCAGAGAAAAATAAGAAGAAATTCATTAAATTATAGGGTACAGACCGCAAGCTCAATCAGTGTAAACTGCAACAATCATGAGGTGTCTCTTCCTCCTGTAGGCCTCAGATAGATTTTTTTTTCCCTCTCAAACCTCTCCGACTGCAGATTCTTTTTATTCTGGTGGACAGTGGTGTGAAGGCCAATGGGAAGGTGATCTCATTTTTCAAACTAAAGGAGTCTCAACTGCCGGCTTTGGCAATTTACCAGACTCTAGATGAGGCGTGGGATACGCTGGCCATCGCAGAAGTTTCTGTGGAGCATGTGCAAAACTTTTGTGACGGATTCCTCAAAGGAAAACGGCTGGTAAGTGGGAGATTCCAGGTACAGCGAGTTGAGTTTTCCTCTCTGTGTCCTCTTATTTCCTGTTGAATAAAAATTCTTTGAGCTCTACTGGATTTGGTTAAGAGCAAAAGTACATGAGGATATATGGTGGAGAGGATCGGGATGCTTGCTAGGAGAGAGTCGTGAGAATAGAACTATACGTGCATCTTTGGAAACATCTTGCATATTCAAAGGAGCTGAATTTGGGGCTTTACCGTTCTGTTGACCTTATTAATGGGAAAAAACCCAAATTCCTATATAGAAGAGTTCATGAGATAAAAATTAAGGATGGATTTAGGACTTCCAGGAGGCATTAAATAGTTCAGTTTGCTAATCTCAGAGCTCAAAACCAAGCGTGGGCTTCAAATCTAAATAACAGTGTCATGATGTTTTTCAGAGAAAAAATCATGAATCAGAAGAAAAGACTCCAAAGGCGGAACTCTGATCTCTCCCTGATACTTCTGCATACTACTAAGTATTTACATGAAATAAAAAAAGGGCAACTCAAACCTCAGAGTCACCAAATAACAGGATCGCCAGGCCTTACACACACGCGCGTGCACACACACACACACACACACACACAGCTCTCCGTTTTGTTCCTTAAAATCTCATTTACTCTCCTTATCTTTTCTTTTAAATTGTCTACACTCTCTTACTGCCCATCCAGTATTCTTCTACACATTCATACCATGTAGTCCCATACACCCACAACACACGTCACTGAAGGGTGCCTATAAGAGAACTCCTGTGATATCTCTTTGAAGTGGAGACATTCCTGGAGGGAGATTGTTCTGATTTGTCATTTTCTAGTGAATCTGTACACGGCACAGGACTTACACGTACATCATAGTTTCTGTTCTTTTATGGTTACCAAGGGGTTGAAACTCTACTTTCTTTATAAGCACATGTCCCTCTCTAACTCAGGGCCAGGGACAAAAGGAAGGTCTTAAACACCTTTCTGGAATTGTCTTTTTGCCAGAGTCAAATGATGTTTTCCAAGTCTCTAAACTCAGCCAAAACAAACCATGTAAAAATCCTATGCTGGTTTAGTGTTCCTAACTCCCATGTAAATCAACAACCGTACAGTAAATAAAAAGCAATAACGTTATAGGAAAAGACTGGCATCTCTTTGCAGGCCGATCCTTTTGTAAATACCCAGCTGCCCAGTTAAGCAGTAGGTAACTCTCCCTTTGGTGCCCACTGTTTAGCGTCCAGCCAGGAGCCACTAATGTGTTATTGTTAACTCTGTGGGTGGGATGGGAGGTGGGTAGAGACCATCCTGCATGAGGATCCATGTAAATGTAGCAAAAGAGCTAGGAATCGAATTAGGTAAAGTTGGGGGAATAGGTAAGGAGGGGGCCCCTTGGTGCTGGGGCCTGCTGGGGCTAAGGGTGGATTGTTGCAGGTGGGGTGTGCTCTGCTGCCTATGTGAAGCAGAGGGAGAGTTTGGCTTAGTCTCTGGTCCGCAGCCTGTTACTGTCAACACACAGATGCTACATTGTTCCCAGGAAGCCCTTGGCTCTGAAGGAAAGGGCCTAAATGCTGAAGAGCTGAAAAACCACAGTGTACACCTAAGGACTGGTCCAAGCCAGGAACAGGGAGTGAAAGACTTAGCTGTTTCTTTCTGCGGGGAAAACTCCACAGCCTCTGAGCTGGGAGTCGGAGGGCCAGCAAGGAGGCTATGAAAGCAGCAGTGTGTAGGGCACGCGTCTCAGCAACAGGAAACCGATGGATTGTGGGGAGGCCATCCAGCCCATCCTCGGGGCTACAGGAAACCACCCAGCCTCTCGCCTGAGGCTACAAAATAGTCCTAGGCTAGGCACATCCCAGAAGCCTCCCTTTGATCCTCTAAAGCTGAGCTCTTGACATTTACAGTCAGGAAATTCTTCCTGATATCCCGCTGAGGTCCTCTGGCCACACAACTCATTTCTTCTTACCTGCAGTCCATGGAAATTCGTAACAGTTGCCAATCCCCGCCATCTCCAAGTGGCACCTCCAGTGCTTGCGGGTTGTTCTTGACCTCCTAATCCTGTCTTCTTTTCTCCATACCTACAGTCCAACTCTTCAGCCAATTTATTTTATTTCCAAGTCATTTGATTAGCTTTCTTATTTTTCTCTCTTCCCTCTTACTCAACTTTCCCTCTTTTTTTTTTTTTTTTTTTTTTTTTCTTAAAATCAAGGATTCCAAACCACTGCAGGAATCTGGCAAATGTCAAAAGACAAATCCTCATGAGCTATATTTTGTTCCACGTTGGGTCAATTTGTGAAATATTTTACTTGAAGTATTTCCCCCCCATAGCTCCGGTCAACAGTGACCAGATCTTTACGGTGCATTTTGCTGCTTGATGACATTTGATAGCAATTTTATTACATATTACCTTTTTATGCTTTTTTACCTTTATTGTATTGAATTGAATAATTCCTTCGGTTTATGGTTCCCCAAAACTGCAAGATAGTTTTGCCTATCTTCTTCACAGCCTATCTGTTTTGTTGTGTTTTTTTTAAGATTTTATTTATTTATTTGAGAGAGAAAAACAGCATGAGAGGGGAGAAGGTCAGGGGGAGAAGCAGGCTCCCCGCTGAGCCGGGAGCCTGATGTGGGACTCGATCCCAGGACTCCGGGATCATGACCTGAGCCGAAGGCAGTCACTTAACCAACTGAGCCACCCAGGCGCCCCAGCCTATCTGTGTTTTGTAGCTCTGATGACTCATGACCAAAGAGTGGAACTCTTTCAGAAAGAAGAGATTCTAAAGTTTCTCATTCATTCACTAAATATCAGACTTAGGATTGTAAAGTTCTTTAATTTCTAGATCTTCTCTATCTTTGGGTAATATCTTCTTAAGACTCTACTTTCATTTCCCCAAGCCCATGTTATTGTTGAAATATCTTAGCTACTTTTCATTATGGACTCATTTTTTAAAGTATGAAGAAATTTCCATACTTTTCTTTAAAGTGTGAAGGAAGCAGTGATGTTCTACAACAGAACTGTGTAGAAGATACTGGAGGATTTAGAAGACTTTGGTAGAAGGAATAGAAACAGGGCATGATTCAGAGGAATGCCAGGAAAATTTGTGTTTGAGTCTCATCTCTTCTGTGTATGTGGCTTGGCGACCTTGGAAAACACTATCTTTAAATTTCAGTTCATTGAGGATAGTAAAATAATTGACAGGATTTTTTAAGATCCCAGGTTGATAACACATATGAAACAAAGCCTGCCATTAGTTTTATTTTTTTAACTTAATACTACACTGCCTTCTCTGGGTCATAGTTATTTCTCCAGATTGTCAGAACTTTTAGAAAAAGAGAGCTTTCCCTCAGTACTAAAAGAGTGAGCATGGGAAGCCTCACACTTGGGATTAGAGAAGTATTTGAAATAACTATTTTAACATGTAGGTTTTATTATCACTCAGACATGGGGCAGCCACCAGATCCGGGAGGCAACTGACATTGAAAAGATAGTTTGTTACAGTTTCCAAGAGGAGGGAACATGTCATACCTTAAGGAACCACCAGGATTGGTCAAGAGGCAAAAGGAGCAAGGGGAAAATATAAGCAAGAGGCTTTATTGTGCTTTCTGTGGGAAGGAACAGGCAAGACCAGGTAAGCCGACTTAAGATTGGTTGCTTTGAATATCAGCAGACTCTGGGGCATAGGAGCTGTCCCTAGTTGTCTGGACCCTGGCCCCGAGGCGTTTAGAGCAGGTGGATAGTGGCTCAGAATATGAGAGCCCAGTGAGAACGTAAAGAAGGTTTTTGGGATATGGGCTCTGGCTTGGTTGGAAGTGGCCAGCCTTAGGAAGAGCAATCTCTCCAGGATCAGCAAGGTCCCCGGTATCAAGGTATCAGAAACACAGGGTTAACAAAATACTCTCCACCCAATCTGTCATGGGACTCCTCTCCCGACTCAACCTAGTTTGGTCCTGCTACAAAGGAAGGCATGCTGTTTTTTTCAGGCCCCTGTTAATACACATTTACCTTGGGTGGGTGGGGGCAAAGCAGGTGCTAAGTGGTGTATTATGAGGGACCAGTTTATTGATTCGTATTCTCATCCATTTATTTAAATACTTACTAATCAATTATAAGTGTGCCAAACAACATAGCCTCCTAAAAGAGCAAAGTTAGCCTTGGATGAGGAGCCGTAGAAAGGGGACATTCACATTATAGTGACAACATGGGGCAGCCTAGAGGCCATCAGACTGGCTGTGGGTCATGGACAGGGAACAACAGAACAGGGAAAGCGGGATGAAGAAGAGGGCTGCTGTGGAGAGGGATGGACGGGAGGCTGGAAATAAACCAAGGAAGTCTCAAAGTTAGGGGAAGAGTAGCCACAAGGAAAAATAGTCTGTTGCAAAGGGGAAGAAGCTCATCATGGACAAACTATTTCACAATGAGTTTGGAACCAGCCCTATTTATTTTACCGTTCTGAAAATATCTGGTTTTCCAAGCAAAGAAAATTAAGACAGGGAGTGGGATGTATCAGACCCACGCCCCTAATTATGGCACTTTCACATTTCTAGAGAAAAGAAAAAAGAGGAAGCTAAAAACCTCTTTTCAGTTGGAACCTTTGGAGAACAGGTACTCTAGAGATCAAACAAACAAATGAATTTTAAAGTCCTTCCTACTCCTGTAAGTTTGAAAACGAATCCCCCTCTTTCAAATCAACTCCACAAGAGGCCAGTGTGCCCTTTTCTTTCCATTCTGTCATTGTTCACGTGGGTTTGACAATGAAAGGTCTGAGTTACATCAGGAGTAAAGGTAAGGAGGTGAGAGTGAGGGCCAGGGGGTTAAGTCACTTCTATAGATTATGAAAAGTGTGAAATCCAGATATTAATGTTTCATCATCCAAATAGTTACATTAGTCTTTTTTTTTAAAATTGAAGAATAAGTGACATACAGTATTGTATCAGTTTCAGGCATACAACATAATAATTTGATATGTATCTACCTTATCAAATGGTCACCATGATAAGTCTACTTACCATCTGTCACCATACGGAGTTACTGCAATATTATTAACTGTATTCCCTATGCTGTACCTTACATCCCATGTCTTACTTACTTTCTAACTGGAAGATTGTACCTTACAATCCCCTTCACCTATCTTGTCTCTCCTCCCAACCTACTCCATCTTTCAGATTTAGAGAAACGAAATTGAATGGTATTTGTTTCTCTCTGCCTGACTTATCTCACTTATACAATACCCATCGGGTCTACACATGATATGGTAAATGGCAAGATTTCGTTCTTTTTTAATGGTTGAGTAACATTCCATTATATATATATATATATATATATATATATATATATATATATATACACCACATCTTCTTTATACATTGATCTATTCATGGACACTTGGGCTGCTTCCATATCTTGGCCTTTGCAAATAACATCGCAATGAATATAGGGGTGCATATGTCTTTTCAAATTAGTGCTTTTGTTTTCTTTGGATTAATACCTAGAAGTAGAATTGCCAGATTGTAGGGAAATTCCATTTTTCATTTTTTGAGGAAACTCCATACTGTTTTCCAGACTGGCTGCACCAGCTTGCATTCCCACCAGCAGTGCACCAGGGTTCCCTTTTTTCTACATCCTCGCCAACACTTGTTACCTGGGTTACACTCAAGTCTTAATAGCAGGATTCAATTTCTAATTCAAGTGGGCCTAAAAACATTAGGCCCACTTGTCTTAACATGGGGACGCGGTGTTAGCCTCGGCTTGAGGAAGAAAAAATAGACAAGATCTGACACAATTCTAACTGTGGTGAAGTAAGAATTTTAAAATTCACAAACATGTTGTGTCAGAGGTTATGTTTCCCAGGAAGAAGACCCTAAGACTAAATTTCCCTGCCAGAAGTTTATTGGAGAGTACTCTTGGGACATGTGGGGAAACGAAGAAAGTAGGACTGGGCAGAAGGGAAAGTTGGGCTGTGACATAGTCACAGAGAGGACTCAGATTACCCCCTGAGGGTACTCAGTGCTGGGATGTCCTTGCAGAATTGTCCCAGATTGGAGAATGGGGGCCAGGCCTTTTTACCCTTTTTTTTTAAGATTTTATTTATTTATTTGAGAGAGAGAGAGAATGAGAGATAGAGAGCACGAGAAGGAAGAGGGTCAGAG